TTTCCAAGGAGGACCTTCAAGATCACAAAGATGACCTCATACTCCTCAGAGCCTATGACTCATCTTGAAAAAGTCTGCAAGATCCTTGCTGACAGAGAAACTGTACCCACAACAAAATGGGGGGGGGGCTGAATTTGTGGCAGTTATCACCCAGAAAACACTGTTACTTTATCATCAACATGAAAACACAAAATTTCAAATGTCCTCAAAAAACCTTGGGACCTTGGGAAGGGGGTGGCGGCCCTGCGTTTGAGGAAGCAGCACTGCCTAGATCATAAATGAGTGAACCGGGCCCCCCAAAGCTACTATGCTTCATGACAGCAATGCATTCAAAATGGCTTCTAAGTGCACCCATCCATTCAGCTGCACCCCAAAACCCGTTTTAGGTGAAATTAAAGATGCCATTGATTGTAAGATGTGTCAGCATTTTACATCCAAATAGGAAAGAAAATGTCAATTAGAAACTAGTGATTTTAGAGATGTTAAAATGTGAAAAACAAAAACACCCTGCGAGTCTTAGCCTGGGTGGGACATCCCAGGGGATGGCACTGTGACTGAGAACGTGGGGCTCGGATTTCCAGTCTTGGGTGGGATGGCAGCCCAGCCCTGCAGTGGCTGTGGGGCCCTGCCCTTCGCTGTGCTGCTACAATGCCTACTTCTCACTGAACTGCTGACAGAACTAAGTATGATTCCCTGTTACAGTATTTAACATGTGCCCCGCACTTATCAGCTGTCTTATTCCTGCTGTTACTTAAATCTGGCAAGCATGGAATCATGAACTTAACAAATCCTAAACAGTTCTCTTTACTCTGAATGGGTTTATTTAGTCTCAGTTGCCAAATCTTTAGACATTGTTTGAAATAAGTGGTAACGGCTTGGCGTCCTCAGTGCCTAGCACTCTAGAAATAAAGGGAAATAATCTTCCAAAATGGAGTTGAAGCATCTTCTTAAACCGAAGGATCAGAGCCCTGCTGAGCAGAGCGGATGACTCAAATACAATGGGTGATAGTTTGCATATTGCTTTGCATGGCATTTGCATGCCACCAGTTCATTTTTGCTTGAAGTGGAAATCCGCCCACCATCTGCTTCTTTCCTAGTGCCTCACGATCCCCTAGGTGTTGAGATGGCTGCTTTGGAAAAAACTGAGCAACTGGCGTGCATCAAGTCATTAGCGCCCGTGCCCCCGTGGCTGGCTACCTCAGCTGTGGAGGGAAGGGCACGTCTGTCCCGGGCTGCACCACCTGGCATCACTGTGGACCATCCTACAACAAGGGTGGTCGCTGACTCAGAAACCGGTAAGCCACATCCAGCACCAGGCAGCTTCTCCTGAACACAACCCCCCAGCACACATGCGCCTGATGGTAAATCAGATGATTCACAGCTCACTAAGCAGCTCAGGAAACAGTTCCTGACCACCAGGAGTTTCCAAACCAAACCAGTGCAAAGCGTCTCTTTTCCTGAGCGTGAATAATTATGGGGCAGTGCGCTTATGACAAAGGTTCGCTTCACTCTCAAAATTCTCAAGATTTAAAGCAAACATACAGCCAGCCAGTATCTTGTAATAAAGAAGAAAAATTAGCACTTAATCAGGGCCCTGTTGCCAGAATCCTCTGACGGCAAGGATCATTTGTTTAAATTGAGCCCTCAGATTAATGACTACTTGTCCAGAAGTGATAATGGACCTACATTTAATACAGGTCCGATCGAAGTCCATGAAGTTGTTTCTTGGGAGTAACTGAGTATATTTGTAAACTCCGACACCTCTATTATGTTATTAGCACATAAACTAGGCAATGACCATACAGAAGATGGTATCAAATATCTACTGCTCACACAAGAGCTGAAAATACCCTAGTGCGTAAGTGTCCCGTAAGTCACCTTTGGACGGTGCATACAAACACCAACTCATACTGTTTTCAGGCTTCTATATGACAGAGGACCCTATGTGAACAGCAAACCCAACCTTTCAGCCACAAAACCCAAATTCCTATCTGGATACTGGGGCCAGAATACTATAAATATAATTAAGCTGATCAGGTTTTTAGAGGTGCTATTTTCTCGTAGGTAATGGGGGAGGGGGTGCTTCACAGTTTCAATAAACATAAAGTACCAGTTAAGCTTTTGGGTTTACTGGGAATAACATGTAAAACATCACACTTTTATGGACTCAGAAACATCGGGACTTCAGTTACTCGAAAATTTTAGAAACTGACTCTAAGAAAGATAAAATTACCAAAAGATTAATAACCTTTAAAGGACTGCTTAACTTTTCAAAAGTGTCACTCCTCCTAGTGACAATCTTTAGAATGCCAGAAACTTAAGAAATTAATATTTAGTCCAATATCACCATTGTTATAGCTGCGGAAATTGAGATCTAGGCTAGAAATTGGCATCTTAAAAAGGAAGTGGGGCAAAAGTCCAGAAGATGAACAGCTGGGACTGGCTAGTCCTGGACAGGGGACAGGAGACAGGAGCTTCTGGAAAACGAGCCTGAAGCCCTGACTGCCTGGGTAGGGGGCTCTGTTAAGGAGCTCGGGGCTTTGAAGGAAACTTCAAAAATGAGGACAGGGCAGCGGGGAGGAGCTGCTTCTCTGAAAAGCATAATCCAACAAAAAGAGATTCTGGGCCTGGAAGCTGGGTTACCTTCTGAGTCCGGGGTCACCGGGTGAAAGGCACCTCCCTGGGACAAGGGGTGGGCCTGGCCCCAGGGAACAAAGCGTTCAGTCTTAGTCACTGGAAGAGTCAGAGAAGCAAACTCATCTCGAAAAACTCGGAACTAGACATCAAAACCAAAGGTGAGTATGAGTGCAAAAGCTGAGTCATCAATTCAGCCCTGCTCAGAACAGAAACGGATCATCTCCGGGGATGCTCATCTGTCTCCAGCAAGCTCAAGACCTAGAACGCAACAAGGGCCCAGAGGCCGGCTCCTCAGTGTGTGCCTTACAAGGCCCCTAGAGGCAAGAATTCCTATACATTTTTTTTTAATTGAAATATAGCTGATTTACAATGCTGTGTTAGTTTCTGGTGTATAGCAAAGTGATTCAGTTACACATACATACTCTTTTTCATAATTTTTCTCATTATAGGTTATTACAAGATATTGAACATAGTTCCCTATGATATACAGTAGGGCTTTGTTGATTATTTTATACACAGTAGTTTGTACCCGCCAATCCCAAACTCCTAATTTATCCCTCCCCACCTTTCTCCTTTGGTACCCGTAAGTTTGCTTGCTAAGTCTGTGAGTCTGTTTCTATTCTGTAAATAGGCTCATTTGTATCATTTGGGGATTCCTTTTTTTTAAGGTGCTCCAACCCTAGTGCAGGAATGGAAGAGGAGCAGATGTGATGGTGACTCTCTGCTTGCCCCCACCCTCGAGATGTGGTCTTGGCCTGTGTCTGCACCCTGGCTCACCGACATCTATGACCCTGCACTCCCTGGGTTTCCTGTCGCCTGGCTTCCAATAGGAAGCCCTGGCAAGAGAAAGGAGCACAGAAGAGGCAGAAGTCAGGGTACATCCTCCCCTTCTCTCCCTGCGCAGGGGCCCTCCTCAGTGGCCCACTCTCCTGGGCTCTGCGGTAGCATGTTCTCCCTGGACCCTGCAGCCGAGGATGGTAAAGCCTTCCTGGGTCTCAGTACTCCTAGCTGGTTCCCCTTCCCTCTTTCATTCAGTTGATCCACATGAGGGGGAGTCTGTCTCCTGCCAGGACCACTAGAAATGAAGCCCTGAGATACTAAACACGGCATCTTATACTTCCATTTACCTGGAAATATTTTATATTGAAACTGAAGTATCTTGTATAGCAGAATGGAAATCTACATAAACAATAAAAATAAACGGGCCTTCAAAAAAACATCAATCTTCAAACCCCATAAACACTGCTGCCTTGGCAGGTCACTCTCCTTTGGTCTTGGGAACCTTTAGTG